CGGGGTTTTGCCGGAGAAAAGCGCCAGTCTAGACGGGATCTTGCGGAAAATAAGCCCTTTTCCAGAAGATCCCTTATTCCTGCTTTCAAGTAGGAATAAGGGATCTTCCGGAAAAGGGCTTATTTTCCACAAGATCCCATCTAGACTGGCGCTGTTCTCCGGCAAAACCCCGAGCCGGAAAAAAGCAGCAGCCATGTTCATGCAAATGCCGCGGGGGATATTTAAATCCCCCGCGGCATTTGCAATTCCGAAGTGTCTCATTAGCATCTCTTTTCCGGAAAAGGGTGCCAATGTAGACACAGCCATACAGATTTCAGAGGAGTCTGACTGGAATGGGGTTAGATTTGTATGTCCTTAAGGTTTTGTTACAGAGTAAAATTCAAACCTTAAAAGGATTCTGTTTTTATTCTAATTTGGATTAGGGATGTAAACTAGCATTTAATTTACCAGTTGAGTAGTTGATGGAATTTCCATCAACTACCTGACTAGTCGATAGGCACTTCCGCGTTCTGCTTTTGAAATGTACAAGAGCCCCAGTGGGGGCTCTTGTGCATTTCAAAGTTGGAATGGAGCCCAGGCCCAGCAGGAAGACCATTCTTAAGTAGATATATTTTTTAAAATGTTGGCCTATATATTGCATTCAGCTACAGTTACCCATTGCTTTGGTATTTATTTATCCAAACAGGTGCGATGCTGGATTAGCCAGATTGTCTGCAGAACACAAAATAACGTATGAAAGACTTCAAAGTTTAAGCAAAGACCAACAAGCTTCTAAAATGATCTTGGAATCTAAAGTCAAAGAGGCAGAAATACAGGTATGTTGTATAAAACAAGTGACCTCCATAAGAGGGAGAATTTAATTTCATTCACAAAAACACTATATTGTTAATGCCAATTGAGTTGCTGGCTTTCAGAAGAGACATAATCAGACCTTCACCATTTTTACTCATTAAATATCCCATGACACTGTGTGCAAATAGGGTTGTCAGGTGTCCGGTATCAAACTGGACAGTCCATTACTTTCGCCTCCTGTCCAGTAAAAAAAATCAGAAAATACCAGACACCTGAAAGGTCTGGTACTTTCAGATTTTTTTCCATCCAGCAGGTGAAAATCCCAGGCTGCCCGGCTCAATACAGAGGCAGCTTGGCAACCCTAGTGCTTACTGGGGAGCTGCCTCCCTGTGCCAGGCTGGACAAGATGGCAGGCAGACGCCGGCAACCTGTTAGGGTAAAAAAGCCTCACCACACGGTTTTTAAAGGGGCCACTGTGGGTTTTGTTGTTGTTTTTTTGGCTTTTTTTGCTTAATAACTCTCGTGGCGCTCAACAAACTTTTTTTTGTTGTTCGATATCTTTTCTGAAACCATCTGGCAACCCTATGTGCAAATGTAGAGATGTCTGCTGTAGAATTGGACCAAATCTGAGTTGGCAGTTTCATTTCACCTGTTTATACTCTTCTACTGCTCTAGCTGGATAAAGTATTCATAATTTCCTGTTCCTAAAATATTATTTAGTATTATTTAGTAGTTGTTAGTGTTGTCCTAATGGCTTCTGTGAGCAAGACCAGCAATGGCTGAATTTCAGTAGTGGTTCCTCATGGGTTAGTTTGTGGCATGGGAGATGTGGAGCCCCCTCAAGAGCACCAGTAACATTTTGCACCATGCAGCAGTTTCCACAGTTGCTACTGCTTGTGCATTTTTCACAAGCTGCTTGGGTTATACAGAATGCTCCATACAAGAATAGTTATACAGAATACTATGGTGCACCAGCCTGATTCTATGGGTGAGCATGAAAGGGGGATGCCAGGGCTCTTCCTGTCTTAGTTTAACAGCAAGCATGTAGGAGAGGGACGCTTCTTGCTTGCTCCTGTGCTCCAGCATGACCTCACATAAGTCACGCACAATCTAGACCTATGTCTGTGCAGTAATAATTGGGTCAAACACATCAAGCAATCTGACTGAGTTAGCCAGTGGTACTGTAGGTGGATTAGTCAAAAGGGAAAATCAATTCCACGATAGTTCCAGCTTCTGTATTTGAACCCTGGTGAGAAAAAAGCTCAACAAATACATTTTCCATGATTCAAGTAGGTAACAGAATTTTAAAACATGGAAAATCTATATTCCATAACCTATTGACCACCCAAAACTGCAACTCCCTCATTCAGCAACCTCCATGGTTCGGCAGGACTACAGTCCTGGCTGGGAGCCCCAGTAGCAAGGGGGGTAGTGGGGGGGGGGGGGGGGGGAGCTGGGACTGGCACCTGAGGCCTGGTAGCTCAGCAGGGACTGCGGCAGTCCCCATACCAGGGCCATGGCAGTCGTGGTACTGGGACTGGGGCTGGAGATGTGGCAGGGGGGCGGGGCCCCCCGGTGGGGGG